CTTTTTCTAGCAGAATATTTGCTATTATAAAAGTCTTAACTAAGTTATACTGTATATAATTTTTTTTTTTAATTTAGCAACAAAAAAGTTAATTGTTTGCTAACAATTTTTTTGTTTATTTTTATAAAAGATCTTTTTAAAAACATATATATATTACTTTTGAGATAATTATCAACAGTTGATTTTCATGTCTAATCTATTAAATAATTACAGAAATTACAAAATAGAATCTTATTCTCAACATGAAATTTGTCTGGTTTTCTTTAACTTTTGTATAAGCTATAACAAAAAATTTAGACTATTTTATTACAAAAAAAAGATAATAAAAAAAAATAACAAAAAAGTTTTTCAAATAAAAAAATTACTATTTATAACAAGTAATTTATATTTTTTTACAACTTCAAATTCTTATAATTTTGTTAGAGGCTATTAGTTATCATTATATATTTTTGTATAAAAACTATATCATGTTTAGAAAATGTTTTAAATAAGTACTTTCTTATAGTAAAAACAAAAAAAAACTATCTGATATACCCCAATTTCTTGAATATTTTTCACTTTAATACAATTCTATTTTGATAATAATAGTTAATATAAAAGCTATAACATGTTTAAAAAATGTTTTGAATAAGTATTTTTTATAGTAAAATAGCAAAAATAAAAAATTTAACTTACTCCAATTTTTTATTACTTTAACACAATTCTATTTCAATAATAATAGCCAACTTAATTGATTTATATTAATATTTATCTCTTTTAGTATTAACACTATTTTGATAACAATAACAAACTTGATTTATTCTAGTATTATTTTTTTATAAAAATATCTAACTTGAAATATTTTAGCATTATTTTTGCATTATTATTCATCAGGAAATTTTTTTTATTGAAGTTCTGTGCAAATTTGCAAAAAAAATTAAATAATAAATTAAATGAAAATCTGCGCAAAACTACAAATTTGATGCTATAAATGCAGAAATTAGATGCAATTCTGTGTAAAACTTCAAATTCTAAAAAATTTGGCAGATTTTATACAACAATTTTTCAAAAATCTGCAAAATATATAGATTTTTGCAAATTTGCACTTATTTAATTTTCCCAATATTGGTGTTATTATTACATTTATATAAAAAAAATTCTTATTATCTACTATAATAACTATATATTTTATAAAAATTTTGTATTACCTGTAATATATTCTGTACTTACAACCTAATTCTGTGATTTTTGTGATATTCTGTAAAATATAAAAAATTATCTACTCTAATATAGTGCTACTCTATATAACTAGAATTGGGATCTTTAGTTAAAAAAATACTTGAAGGCAGTTATATAACCAGAAAGAGAAAAATACTTGAAGGTAGTTATATAGCCAAAAAGAGAAATATATATTAATTAATAATTCTCTAGTCAACTGAAGAATAAACATAGTAAAACATAACTTAGTTTACTATATAAATCTAATATAGGCTAAATATAAAATTGCTTTAAGATAAACTTTTTTTTGTACTAAGCTAATTAATTATATCAATTAATTGAAAATTGTAGAACTTATCTTTGTGGTTTTATATTCAGCCTATATTAAATTTATATAGTAAACTGAGTTATGTTATACTATGTTTATTTTTTAGTTAATTAGAGAATTATCAATTAAAGTAAAGTTTTATATTTGAGATATAATATAAATATTGTATTTGTTATACTGTATAATTTTTTTGAGCCTAATACAGATTATAATAGTTTAGTTTTTTATATTAAACTAGTCTTCTAATCTATTATATGTTTTTTTGTTTTTGTTTTTTTATTTATTTATTTTTTTATTTATTTTTTTTTTTTGACGATCATGTCACAACTTTATTTTAATATAGATTTTATATTTTCATTAAAATGTGATTTCTATTTATAGCTATGCTACTTTTAAACCTAAAGTGTAGCTCACCTGGTTGCCTATAGCACCTATGTGCAACCTGCCAAAGTAGAAATAGCCTCTCTGCTTCTTCTCTATCTACTGCAGATATCGAATACACAGTTCATTGGCCAGGATCTATAGCCTATCATGATCTATTTAGTTTTTATTCCAACTGGACCACTTGCCAGTCCATATCCATCTATTTACTTCTTTTATTATTATATCTACTCCTTCTTTGAACTTATTCCACCACCTTAATCTGTTCTTTTCCTTTATATCTTTCTTTATACTGGTAGATGGTGGATCTTCTGGTTCTTTCCCTCTTTTTCTTCCAGATTTGAGGCCCTTTGGGGTGTTTTTCTTTTTCCTTTTTTTCTTGGGCTCAATATGCAGCTTCTTTTCCCAGTTTGCTACTACGTCGCATCTTTGTAACCAGATTATATCTTGGAAGAATGAGTGCCACTTGTTCCATCATTCCAATATTATTGCCTCTGTGCTTCGCTTAGGAATATTCAATGATTGGAGTATGGTTAACACTTCTGACTCAATCAGCCTTCTTGCCATTTCTTTCTTTTCTGTAGATTTTCTTCTTTTTCTTTACCCATAAAGACTTGGCACAAGATAACGGGAGAGAGCTTCTTTTTTATATGTGTATCTAGATTGTTCCATATTTCTTTCACTATATCTTGCTCTTTATTCACCCACTTCATTACATCAGTCTCGCAAGTGGATAGGTGGTCAAAGTCTTCTTCCTCTTGTCCACACTTTTTACATATAGCTGATGGGTAAAGATCTTGACAATTTCTTTTACAGATATTAAGTGTAGAAAGCAATCTATTTAAGCTTTTGAGCCTAAAGCTCCATCTTTTGTTGGATTTGAAGGTCTTTCCTTTTTCCTTCTTTTCTTTATTCCACAGGCTCTTAAAGATTTTTCAATTCCGTTTTATAGGTCTATGCTAGTGGATTGTATCTTTGGTATTGTTTGCAAATAACTATTCAACCTTGTGAAATGTGTAAGTAATATTTTTGACAAAGCTGCAGATTGGAGCTTCTATTGCATTATTCTTCCAAATTGGTCTAAGAATTATACCCTGGGTTTCATTTATACCAATGTTTGTTATTTCTATTTCATTAGAGCCTTTCTTTGCTACCTTATTTGCTAAATCATTTAATATATCACCTGCGTGAGCTTTGACTTTGGTTTATTTATTTTTTTTATTAATATTTTTTTTTTAAATTACTTTTTGACAATCACTTGTACCAAAAATTTTCAAATAAATTTTTTAATAAAATACAACAATATTTAGTAAAAACAAAAAAAAAAATAAAATGGAAAACTATAAATTTAGAGATAGTTCTCATATACTATACTATCTGCTAACAGGTTTAGAGTTTATTACTTACTATAGCACAGAATAGTATTTACTGTTTAGAAATAGTTCTTATATGCTATTTGCCAATAAGTTTAAATTTATTACTTACTATAGTATATTTAAGTATTTGTGCTACTCTAAGTAAATACAAGTTGCGAGTATATTTTATAAAAAAAATTAAAACACTCTTTAAATTTGTACAAATAGTTTCTACTTTTTATCTTCTATTGTTTTTCTGTTTTCAAAATTTTTGAAAAAAAGTGAGATTTGGTTTACTCTCTTCAAAAGATTAATAAATTGCAACTACATGTCTTGTTTATCTGCAAATATGATACTACTTTATATAACAAAAATCAGGATCTTAGATTAAAGAAGTATTTGAAGTTGGTCATAAGTTAGAAAGTAACAAACAATAAGGCAAAGGTTTACAATAAGAATATACAAAGTTGTATTTGTTATATAATTTTTATACTTATCTAGCACAGGTTATAATAATATATTTATTATAGATTGTTTTTTTTTTTTCCTACTTTTTTTTTTTTTTTTTTCTTTTGATTGTTATTTTGATTTTTGTTGTAGTACAGTATGGAACAGCAAGTCCCAACAACTTTTTAATAAAAGTGACCAAATTTGAATATATGTTATATAAAAACAAGCAATATTATTGGATAATATTATAATATAAAAGAATTAATTTAATTTTTTTTTATTAATAGTGGCCAAATTTTTATTTGCATATAAACTTTAAATTGCAACAACTCTTAATTTAAATATATAATTTAAAAAACTAATTTAGCCAAATTGTAATTATAACAAATAACTTCTTTTTGGCTAAAAAATTTTTTAGTAAAATTAAATTTGGATTACTAGTAAATTTTTTAAAAAAAGTTTATTTAGTTTGTTGGGTTATACTGTCCCATACTATATCTTTCCTATTTTTGAAAAACTTTTTTTTTTTTCTTTTGTTTTTAAAGTTTTTTTGTAAAGTAGATATAAGTCTAATATTATAAATTAAAAAAAAGTTTGGGCCACAACTCTAGTATATATACACTATATAGTATACAAATAAAATTTTTAATTTAAAATAAAATAATTATATATATTTAATTGTAACTTATTGCAACCTATACACTAGTATCAAAATAGGCAAAATAATATAAAGAGATCTCTTTAAATGCACCCTATAGATAAAATCTCTATAAATACACAGTATGGCCCTGGCTTATAATAGCACTATATATTTGTTTTCTATAAATCACTCCCTTTCTAAGTGCATATTTTTGAAATTTTTTACTATGGTCCCGAGGAGGTGCATTTAGAGAGGTCCCTCCGTACTTAAATTCATTATAAAAAGAATTGAAAATATAATAACACACATTAGTATAATTTTCTTGTTTATTCTGAATTTATATTATCATAATACTGTATATTATACTTTTTTTTTTTTTTTTTTTTGGTATTAAGGTGACCTCTTTGGTCTGGGGAAACTGTATATTATACTTTGTAATATTATATACTGTAGTATTATTAATAAATAAATAAAAAAAAGCCTGCAAATTAAAATATTATTTAAAAAAGCCTACAAATTGAAAAATTATTTAAAAAACCTACAAATTAAATAATGACTTTTTGTATTAATTTTTAATTTATTTCAAATTTACAGTATATAGAAAATTAAAATACTATAAATATAAATAAACACACCAAATAATTTATTTTTAATTATAAATCTTTTTGGCAAATGTTTCAGCAACAATTAGTGGAAATACAATTGTTGCATCTGCATAAACCTAGTCAAAAAAAAAAAAAAATTTTAAAACATAATATTTTAATTAAAAGTATTTTAATTATAAAGCTCTAACCTTAACAGGTTCAGCAGTTGCTCTAATTTTCCCCCAACTAACAGCTTCATCAGGTCTTGCACCAGAATCACTCCCATCAAATTCTTGTCCAGTGTTTATATAAACTGCGTAATCAGCACCATTTCTCTATATGTAAAAATTGAATTATAAAAAAATATATACTATATATAACATATCGAATAAACTATTGGGAAGTTACTTACCATAAGATTAGCATTACATATATGATGCTTTACTATACCACCACCCAATATAATAACACCAGTTTTTTTAGCAAATACAGCCTGATTATTTATCGATCTAATATCTGATACTATATCAATAATTAAACCAGGATTTTTAAAGGAATGAAAATAGATCATGTCACCCAATGAACCATCAGTTAAAGCTGGACAATAAACAGGAATATTATTCTAATATATATATATATATATTAAGAAAGGTTATAAAAAAGATAATCGATCTAATTTAAAAAGAATAGTTATTACTTTATATGCCCAATAGTAAATAGAATCTGGGTTATCGATTTCTTTACCGAGACGGTGAATGATTTTTGAAGGTGACCATATTATACCCTTGATAAATGAATTCGTAAGACTTGAAAAATAAAAAACGAAAAATAAAAATAGATTTAAATATATACCTCACTCTTTTGTTCTTCTAATAAACGGTCTAAAATTGGTACAACCCAATCTTCAAATTTGCAATAATTTTCATTGGGTACTAACAAATTTCCAATTCGATTTATCCCTTTTTTTCTTAATTCAGCACCTGGTAAATTAAAATCACCCACAAATGTAGGATTCAAACATTTTATAAAATCTTCTTCCACACCACCAGCAGTTGTGACGACAACATCCACGAGGGAATGTTGAACTAAAAAGCGGAAAATTTCACGAAGTCCTGATGATACAAGATTAGATGTATAACCGAGAAAAATTTTACATTTTGTGGAAGCACGAACGTTCGGAAGTTTGTAATCATCGGATTCATCAGGTAAAAGTGGATCATCAGATAACCGCCAATTACGCTAAAATTAAGAATTTCATGCTTATATGGTTTTTATAATATTCCCTTTTTTTTTTGAAAAAAAAAAGAATTGAATTATATAAAAACCATTTGATTTATGACATTAATAGCTTGACCAACACTAGTCGCTTGGAAACCAATTCGAGAGTAACTCTTGAGCAAATCTTCTAAAGAATGATTTTGGTTAAAGTCAGGACCTATGACAGTTGTAGAATTATCGGGCATAGAGGTAGATTTGACTAGTACTGCCTGGGCAGCAACGTTGGGCACTGAAAAGGATGCATCGTCTTTATCAGTGTCACTCATTTTTTTTGGACAGGTCAGAGCATTAATCTTAATCCGAATTTAAGATGGATTGCATTTTATAATTGGTTATATGTACACTAACACGTGATCAGTCAACACTCTAAACTGAACCTGGATAAACCGATATTTAGTACATTTATAAACCGAATCATTTCCATGAGAAAGACTGTGATTGGCTAAATAATTCTTATATAATATTATCAAAGTTCCAACACCCTTTTTTTTTTTAAGTCAACTATTTTAGTGCATTAAATAAATAACTTTATTCCAATATTTACAGCTATTTTACTGCTTAAGGTCATCAAATTTCTGGAGACAGCGACGTAGTTTCTGAGAGATTAGATGATTTTTAGGACGAGACTGAAATAGGTTATATGTTGTATTATCCCTTAAAATAAATGTCCTTGGCGTTGTTAATCAGTTCTAATTAGAGCAGAAAAAATCGCCAGCTTTCGGGACATTTATGATAATAATTCATTTATCTAATAGATTCATTTAACGGATGAGAGTAAGAAATAAAACATCTCGAGTTTAGTATCATTTTTAGTATACTTTTGAAACGTTTTAATGTTTAGAAATTCTAATCTATACCAAACTCGAGATTCATGACTTACTTTCATCAGATAAATCCATCAAATGACAGTAATAAGTTATGCAGCTTATGAGGCGATCATTAGAATTTGGAATTGATAAAAAGAAAACTATATATGTTGTGCCCAAAATGTAAATTTGTCCTAATAATCATTCGAAGAAGCCCAAATGTAAGTTGCCAAATTTTACCTTTACTTAAATGTTCGGCCTAAATTCATTTGTTGACATTTAGGCTAGATATCTGAAATACAATATACTATACATATATTTATAGTGGTTTTTTTTTTTAAAAAAAAAAACAATGCTAAAAAACTTCTTATATTATTCTATAGCAAGTTCATAATCTTTTTATATTTACTGTTAGCATCATCCGATTATGAAGGTAAAGTAGTAAATTATTGACTTTTTTTTCAATAACTATGTTAGATAACATCTCAAAACAAGTCATCGAAATCATCAAATTGAAGAGTACACATGTTTAGTGAAGGCATTTGTTCCAAAGTAGACAATGACATTTGCTCAAATGCACCTTGAGAAAATAATGACGGTGGCGAAGGTGCGGGTGAAATGCCAGATTTAATCAACCTTTCTTGAATGGCAAGATAGTCTGGCGTTCGAGATCTAGGTATCTCTTTTGACTTATCTTGATGACCCATTTCATCAATAATTTGTGATTGTGAAAAGAATGATGATGGAGACGATACAGGCGAAGTAGAACAAAATAGTGCTTCTTGTTTAGGAGGGACATCTAAGGCTTCAGTTTGTTCCGTAAGTTTAATGTTACGAGTGGACATATTGGAATCGAGATCTTCGTTTTTTTGAAAATTATCGGTATTTTTCTGTGATTCATGAACAGTTTTCGTACAAGTTCCACGATTTGTGTTAGCTGCATCATGATCAGCATTAAACCATAAATCGTCATCATCATCATCAATGATCAATACATTCTCCTTATGCTCCTGGGAATCTAAATCGAAAAGATTGTCATTATCTGCATTCTCGCAATTTTTATCTGGGGATGGCATTCTTCGACTCACTGACTTTGATGCTGCTACCAAAGTCGGATTGTTCTGCACAGACACTAAACGTTTATCATTATTCATTTCTAATAAAGGATTCACATTGGTTTGTAATGGAGAATTACTAATTTGAACTGATGGACCCTTTTCAAATTCCTTATCATGTACATTGCCGCCGTCACAATGGATATTCTTTGACGACTTTCTGGGATGTTTATCCGATGAAATTTCGGGACTTAATCGCGAAGATGTTGTTATAAAAGAATCATCGGTTAACACGGTAAAGTTTGATAAGTGATAAGAATTACCCTGAGGCATTTGTTGATCATCCCGATTTTGCCAATAAGATATACCAAGACGCTTTTTTGAAGATATAAGGCATTTTTTTGATTTTGCACCATTTAGATCATCAGGAGGATTATTAGAGCATTCTTGTGACAAATCCTGATTAACATCTATAGTTGTTGAACCATTCACAGATGCTGAATTAGGAAGATCTATTTTTATATATATATTTTAAAATTTTGATCAAAACTCTATTATAAATAGAAACGCAAATAAATGAATATTATGCAATAATAGACTTTGAAATTCCGAACCAATTATAGTATTTTGACTATGTTTTATATGTTGATTTTTCAAGCGAAAGAAATCTACCAATTTTCTTTGAATTTTTTCATTTCCATTTATTATATTATTTGTTTTAACTGGAATTGTTTTTTTGATACGATTATTTATTTTTTCACAATTTTTACCGGCATTACTTTTTTCTTTGGTAGCTCTCAATCGCGCATAAAAGTTCATAGAGTTTTCAAAGCATATTGTCAAAGTAATTTGTCGATTCTGACCTTGTTTAACGTATTTTCCTATTGTTTCTTCTTGAGCATCTTTTCGCTTTCTTGACGACTGCTTTTTTGCAGGTGGTTTAATAGTTTGATTTTGACGTGAGGTATTATTGACTTCTTTCGCAGTATTTAGTTGATTATTTTCAAATCTATTTTCCAGTTGAAAAAATTGCGATAAAGAAGATTGCTTTAAGGTTACACGCGATTTTTGTTTAGTAAGTTTTTGTTGCGGTTCAGTATCAACTAAATTATTCGCTTGTAATGCGGTATTAGTTTGTGGATCAACAGTAACGCGGTTACTCGATTTTGATTCAGTAACGCGATTATTCAATCGTGAAGATGGCTTTTTTAAAACTTTTATCCATCCTGTTGATTCACCATCTTTCAATTTTGCTGTTTCTGTTTTTCGCATCATTAACAGCTATGGCAGAAAGTGCTGAAGTGGAGTGGGAATTGTTTATCTGTTATATCGATTTACGCACGTGATCGGCAATTATCAAACAAATCAGTCAATAAATCGGTGAAATATTCATATGATTGGCTAATTTACGTAGATCTTGCGATGGTACGTGACCTCTTAACAAAAAAAAATTATTTGTAGCTTTTCGATTGACTTCAAAATAAGTCTACTAGGGAGTCGTAGTTGACCTAAATTGTCAACTCGACTAAGCCGAAATTTTAAAATCGGCTTAGCCGGCTATGCAAAGCCGATAACCTTTAATACTGTATGTAAAACAATATACAGTATATATATATATATGTATATATAGTATACTTTGAATTTTCCCACCAATTGTTATATAGAATTGTAGTTTCCAATCAAGAATTAAATTTTTACAAAATCGACTACAAATCAACAAATCACTAAGTAAGCGCCCCCGTAATAAAATTATGTTTCATAAATAAACACCATCAAATAAAACTTTAAATTAATTACGCTTCCTAGTGATTAATCACGAAACGAATAGCACCAATACTTGGCAAATTGTCGAATACGGTAATTTAACAAATTTGCTGACACGTACCGCTTTGCGGCACGTGTTCATTTGGCAATTTTTTTGCAGTATTGTTCTCTTGCGTTTTTTTTAAATTCGATATTCGTGCATCTTAAATAAAAGTGTATAACAGTTATCAAAAGTACGCCAATAACAGAACATCCAGTTAGACAAAGTTTCAATATAAAGAATATTTAATTCACTTTGTCTGTTTGTATGCATACAGTTAATTGTTTGCTTTTACAGCATTAAATTCGAGAAATATATTTTTTGAAATGTTCTTTGAGAATTGTGCAAAATAATTCGCAATTACTAGATAAAATTCACTTAAGGAATCCACGGTCCTTTCAGGTTCGCTGTGAAGAATAGTAACACATTCTAAATCACTTTCGATCTATAAAAATCCGCCGTAAACTCTTAAACTATCTAACAAATTTTACTAAATTAAGTTCTGAAAATTTTATGACGTATTACGAAAACAAAGATGGACCAAGAGAATCAGCAAATTTAATATAAAGAATTTTTATTAATGACGGACTTAACGATTTATCTGACAAAAAATTATAACCTAACCTCCAGACTTTGTAATTCCACGTTTAGTTTGACATTAGTGTTGTACATCAAAATAGGATCTTTGTGAATTCTGAATTATATAGTATATATTGCAACAGAATTTTATTTTGACTCAGCCAATTAGAGAATTCAATTCTACTTAATAAGTGGACTTAGTAGAATAATTAACTCAAGATTATTCAAATTAAATTAAATTAAATATGAATTCTTTAACAAGCTTATTCACTAAATCGCTGAATCATAAGAAATCTTTACTTCTATCTCGCAATGCATTTGAAAGTTTTATTCAGTAAATTTCTCGACCCAAATCTATAATCAACGTTGTAAAACTTTTATACTGTAACACGAAAAGATTATGATTGTATTAAAGTTTTACAAGATTCAATAAATAAACTATTGAACCGCAAAAGATCGTTATTCGGCCAAGAAAGAATATTTAGTTTACAAATCTTTGAAACATCAATTAATCTACTATTCAGCTTACTGTACTAAAAATGTTTTGTATATACTTTTCAAATCAGATTGTTTCTTCAAAACTATGTAATAGCGATATACAGTATGTTTTAAAATTCTAATTTAATTGTAGATTCCTGAGCAATATTAATTATCTTTTGTAATTAGCGTTAAAGCATAATCTTCAGATTTAAACTCAATTAAAAATATACTTATAATAAAAAATAACATTTAACCATCCTTGAAAATATACGAACTTTGAAAATAACATTTTAGATGAATATAAAAACAACTTCAACGGAAAATTTTTTTAGTGCAGATATATGCAAATTTGTAAAATTTTTATTATATAAAAATTTTGCGCAAATCTTCAAACAAGGAGGCTATTTTTACAGAAAATAAATACAATTCTGTGCAAAATTTTGCTTTTTAAAAAATTTTTCCCCGATGCTGTAAAAATCTGTTTTCACAGAATATTACAGATCTAAATAGAAAAAATTTTCCCGATGTTGAAATATTAATTGTTATAAATTTCGTATTATTCAGTTATTAATGATGAGGTTCGAATTGTAAATATGTACTTGATATCTAATAGGGTATCCTTATGTCAAGCAAATTTCGGGCTTAAGATCATTTCCGGCCTAAAAATTTTTGGTCGTAGTATATCAAAAATTTCCTATATATTTAGTATATAAAAATGCTCCCTATGACTAAAATTTCGTGCCGAAAACTTTTATTTAAAGGTCGGAAGTTAGTTAGCATAGTAAAATTTTGCGTTATTTACAATTTTTTGCATTTTCTTATATTTTTTGCGTTTGTTTTGTTACACAAGATCCTGTAATTTTATTGGATCCGATCTACGAAATTTATGATCGGAAGTGATCTTCAGCGATCTTCAGCCCGGAATTTGCTTGACATAAGGGTACTCATATCTAATATATATGTATAATTATTATCCCCTGATCAACCTACTTATATTTCTTACGTATTTATCTTAGGTGATCGGGTATAAACATTAACCATTTTAATCTTCACGTTAAAGGAAATTAGTAAGCGTAGAAAGGTTTTATTTTTCAAATAAATAAAGCGAAGTTATATGGATGGAGGAAGATAAATCAGTGATATACTGGATACTCATGCGAAATTTACTAGAATGTATAACTTAGGCTTACGCGTCGATCACGTCGGTTATGCATTCCCGGTAAATTACTCAGGATATAATTATTATTTATGTGACTAAAATACTAGAAACAAGAAGCCTGCATACGTCTGGTGATATATTTCAGGGAAAACTACATTTTAAAATCATAATTTCAGTCATCAAAGCGCATAGAAATATGGGTCTGCTGTTTCGCTCCAGATCATTGCAGTTAAATTGCGCAATATATATCAATATTGATTTCGATAATTTGCTACGTATTTATTAATTTGTAATGTTTTTTGTGCTTTGTATAACAGTATATACTTTTAGAGGTTACTTATGTCATATGATGCGAACATACAGTATTTAAATATAGATTTAGGGTACATTATTTGACCAGATGTACTACATTCAATATTTCAATAAAATTAATTACTCTCGTAGCATCTAATATCTTGATCCAAAATGTCAAATACAAAAGGCGATAACTCATCAGATATAATTACTCAGCTCACCAATACTTTTGATCAATTGAACTTTATCGAAAGTCAAAAATTAGCTGATATGAATGATCCGGATGGAATATTCTGGCTTGGTTATTGTTACGAATATGGAATTGGTGTTGAAAA